TGAGCAGATTCTAGAATTCAAGCCTTTGACATTCTGCATGTAAAGCCCTTAGGGCTTTTACTACACCAATATGCAAAGCGCTGCTGGAGCAGAGATATAGAGAAGCATTTGATGTGTCACCTTGGTGGGTGAGAAATAGAAAATGATATGTGACTCCCCCATCTTCTTCAAAAACAAAAACCCTTCAGAATCCAGTGCTGTACAACTTATTTTTTCTTTGCAGGTACAACCAGTTTTGAAATTTACACCATTGTTTCTTTCTTTTCCCCTTATTTATTGCCCAGTTTTGTTTACAATGTGAGCTGCACAAAATACTTAGGTCACATAGCCATATGGCATAAAAGTATTTAAATAAAATTAAAACTTTCAGCGGAACTGGCTTGACCTAAAAAAATATTGTAGAATGAAAAACTGTTGAATATTTTACTGAATGAAATCTTTTAATTTTTTTTTAATAGAAAATTAAAATCCGATGAAGTCAGAGCCTCTCTATCTCTTGTTTTATAAATCAGTATAGCTGGGCAGTCTTTTCATCTTGTCTTGAGATCATACCAACATCAGTGTATTTTGATTACCTTTACAAAGTGATTAGAAGCTAAATATATTCAAAAAAGGATGCTTGTTAACAGATTTCAGAACTCCTGTTAAATCTTTTTCCTGAAGGTTATTTTTGATGCTAACACCTGAGAAAACTCTAATTAACTTTCAGGTTTAAAGCATAATTTAGGTGCTTCAAGACTTACCATCTGCACTATAACAATACCAGATACATGTTACCTTAATACTCAGGAAGCATTCTTAACTGCTTAAAACCACCGTAATTTCACATAGTGATGACGCCGGCTGACATGGTCAGAAACCCTAGCAAAGGATAATGTTCTTATAATAAGGTGGAAATTCCACTTTTGCCAGTGAATAGTACAGTTACATACCTGTTAATCTTCTCATTCAAAATATATTTTTAAAAGGTGTTCTCATCTGGAATACTTAAGGATCTCAGCTATCTCAGCAGGGAAGGGGGTATTCTCTACTATTGGCTAAAGCAAATCACCCTTACAAGAGCATCTTGCTGTTGTATGAGGTCTTCTGTCTTTCTTTTTTGTTTTGTTTTCTTTTATTAGTTAACTAGACAGCTATCAACACTTTTATGCCTTTCATACATATTTATCTTGCCTTTAAGAAGAAAATGTTTCAGTAATCTTTTAAAAAATGTAAAAGCCCAGAGATTCACAAGACAGATATAAGCTGCTCTGAGTGACATAAAAAAGAATCAACCTATACAAAGCAATGCACATTTAGTTTTGTGAATCTTTTGAAATTATTATTCAAAAGTAAAAATTATTATGAAATTAAGTCTAAGAAGGAATTGTGTGTATTTATATACATCAATTTATGTTAGCATATTTTTTCTTTAATTTATTGTTTTTCTGTTTCACACCTTTCTACTTAAGCAGACAAGGAACATGAATTAACTGAAGGATTTTTCTAGTTTTTGTGATTAGTAGTATTTATTTGATTATTTGAAAAATTTATATGACCACCTATGTAACGACCCTAGGTGGCTAACAAGCAAATTCACAAATAATAAAACATTAGATTAATATTCTAACACATCACCCATGTCATAACATTACCCATTCAAGAGGAACACAGACATATGCTGGGTTTGCCTTCCATCCTGACCTAAAGCCTGAGAGCAAAGCCAGGTCTTAATGGCCTTCTGGAAGGCAAGAAGAATAGGGGTCCTCCATATCTAAAGGGGGATGTTTCTTCATAGGGTAGGCACAGCGATGGAAAAGGCTCGCTTCCTGGGTCCCACCAGATGTCAACATTAAATAGAGGAGAGTTGGAGTGAGCCTACCCTATCCAATAACCAGCACCTTGAATTGCACCCAAAAAGAAACTGGGAGCCAGCATAGCTCTCACAGCTATGGTGTAACACAGGCCAACCATGAGGCACCCAAAATTGCCAAATGAAATTTCCAGGTAGTCTGCAAAGGTAACCCCATGTTGAACACATTGCAATAGTCCAAATGAATTGGGACTAGGGCATGACTGACCATGAGCAGGGCCTCCTGGTCTAGGAATGGGCGCAATTGGCATATAAGATAAATTCATGCAAAGGTTCTCCTAGTCACAGCTGCCACCTACTCCTTAAGCAGGAGCCATGAGTCCAGGAGGACCTTGAAGTGCACCAACTCTGTCCAGGGGAGTGTTACCCCAACAAGTGTTAAAGATGCCAACTCTCTAGATCCAGGAGAGCCAAAAACCTAGAGCTACTCTGTCCTGCTAGTGTTAATTCACAGCCAGTTCCTCCCCATCCAGTCCTTCACAGTGTCCAGGTATTGGGTAAGCATCTGAATGACATCACTTGTCACGCCTGGGGCAGAGATGTACAACTGAGTATCATCAACATACTGATGATACTGTACCCTATGCCGCCAGATTACCTTGCCCAGCAGCTTCATGTAGATGTTAAATAATGTCTGTCCTTCGAGGTAGACCAGACTAGGAAACCAAAGTTATGAATGTTAATACTACTTTTATTATAAATTTATAGTAACAAAGCCTTGCAAGACCGAATGCCCCTCCTCCCTGCCTCCCTTTACCTACAAGAGAACTAGAGAGGATCAAGCCTGAGACACTTTCTCAAGTTACATTTCTGTCTCAGACTCACATTTCTTTTGTCTCACCATTATTGGTTGCGGCTCTTCCTCCTGTTCCTAAAGGTTACTCTTACAGCCCATTACAAATAGGAGGAGTCAGAAAGCAGTCCTGAGGCACCCCACATAAGAGAGGCCTAGAGCTAGATCTCTCTCCTGTAACCAACAACAAATGGCCACAGAGGAAGGAAAACCACTGAAGAACCATGACTCCCACTCCCAACCCCCTAAGCCAGTCCAGAAGGATAACATAGTTGACGGTACTGAAAGCTGCTGATAGATCCAGGAGGACTCAGATGGATGCACCATCCCCATCCTGTGCCCATCAGAGGTCATCCATAAGGATGATCAATGCCATCTCAGTACTATAACCCCGCCTGAATCCTGACTGAAAAGGATCTAGGTAATCCGCTTCTTCCAGGGCCTTTTGAAACTGAGCCCTTACCACCCTCTCAACAACCTTCCTTAAAAAGGGAAGGTTGAAGACTGGATGAAAGTTGTCCAACATGGTCTGGTCCAAGGATGGTCTCTTGAGAAGGGGGCGAACCATCACCTCCTTCAAGGCAGGCAGAACCACTCCCTCCCACAAAGAAGCATTAACCACCACTTGGACTCAACCACGTGCCACCTCCTAGGAGGCCTTCACCAGACAGGAGGGGCATGAATCCAGAACTCAGGGGGTAAAGCTTACAGCTGCAAGGACCCTGTCCACTTCCTCAGGACCAATCAGCTGAAACTCCACCCAGATAACCAAGCAAAGATATGCCTCAGTCACTTCTGTAGGATGTGTCCAGCCACAATCCAACTCAGAGTGAGTCTGAGTGACTTTATCTGACAAATGACTGGAATAGTCTTCACAGTGGCCCCATGAGGGCTCCCTACTAAGGTTCCCCGACCAAGCAGAACCTGAAACAGGGCCATTGGCCGCCTATCTGCAGTGGAATAGAAGTAGAGAAGCGTACTCTCTTTGCTGCTTTTATTGCCACAAGATAATAATAAGACTCTATCTGTATTCTAGCAGATTTGCTCTTTGTCTTTCTCCAGTGGTGCTCTAGGCATCTCTTGTGTTGTGCTGTTTCATCTCCCTCAGAGCATAAAACAGGGTTATGGGATTCACAAATACAGAGTGCATTCCAATTCAAGGCCGTAATCACATGTCCATTCTAAGCTGTGACCAAGGTTTTGGCTGAATCTTGCACCAGAGCTTCAGGAATAACCCCACGTGCCCTCTAAAACCCACTGGGTCCATCAGGTGCCTAGGGCAGGCCAATCAAATACGCCCTTCCTCCCTGTAGTGCCAGGGCCGAAAGGAAGTGATCTGTTCATGGCAAGGGACTGCTGATAATCCCCCAACCTAGATCACTGCCCCAGCACAAAAACTAAATCTAACATATGACTCCTATTGGGTGTCAGGCCCTAATAAATTGAATCAGGTCCATGCTTGAGATGGTAGCTATGAACTCCCAAGTCACCTCTGACTCCAGAAACCAAAGAAGGCAAGTTGAAGTCCCACTGAATCATCAGCCTGGGGAACTCTACCACCAACTTGGCCACAGAGCTTAGGCAAGGCTGCCGCCGTACTGCAGGGAGGAAGGTAGGCAAGCAGCAAGCCCAACTGATCTTTATGGACCAATTTCACAAAGACGGAATGGCTATGTTTGGGGCAGTGCCCCTAAAGACCACCAGAGACTCCTGACAACAGCAGTCATGCTCCCACCCCTACTCCAGAGTCACGGTGATGCCACACTTGAAACTCAGAAGGGCACATTTCTGAGAGAGGAACCCCCACCCCTGTGCCCAACCAGTTTTTGTTAATACATACCAGATCAACCCTCTTGTCCATGATTAAATCATACATTCCTAACTGTTCTTTCATTCATCTGAACAGTTCTCAATATTAGTTTAACTAATGAGCATGAAAGATTATTTGATAGGCATTTCTCCTGTGTAATAGTATACAATTATATGGGTTTTATGATTAAAACCCTGGCATAGGAATATTTTATTAAGTAAAATTATTTTTTGTTTTACAGTTTTTGACTGTTTTAATCTTGTTTATGTACAGTAGGATTGTAAGCCACCTAGAGTTGGTTGACGAATTGGAATGACAAATAAACCAAGTAAAACAAACAAATAAGATACAAATTCTCAGTGTGTTGAAACAGACCAGGTATAAACAACACCCGAACATGTTTTGAAAAAGAACTAGTTAAAATGAGCAAAAATGTCACTGAAGTTTTTTTGTGTGTGAATTTTCTGGAAAATATGTTAAATGCTTTCTTATATGGAAATAGTATAAATTCTTTGAAATTAATAAAAGTCAAGACAGTTATTCACCTGAGCAAATGGTGGAAGAATCTTCGTGCATATCTGCTGATCTGGTCCCTGTATTCCAACACAGTTGTCTCAGACAAAGGCCGGGTTGGTGCATAAAATGTCCCAAGAGTTGCCTCCAGCTGAGCTGCGGAGTTCAAACACAAAAGCAGTTAAACAAATGGAGTAGCTTCCCTTCAAGTAGTGTGGGCTCATGTCACTTCTGGTGAGGTATGATGAGCTAGACATCCCTGAAGGAACGGGGATGGCATTACAGCTGAGATCGCCGATCAGAGGACAGATCCTGGCTGGTGAAACCTCTCTGGAGAAAGGAGAGATAGTGGGATTATCCACATGTACTCTGGACAGTGGCCCCTTGCGAGTAGACTGCAAGACCTGAGGTTTTTGTGGTTGGCTGGTGAGTGGAGTGGCTGGCAGTTGGCAGATTCCATCTACGCCCATAACTGTAATGTAATCTTTATGGACATAAAGCTCAGCTGAGCCTCATTTCTTAATTACTTTTTGAATTACTTTTGTATTGCCTTAAGTACCTTCAGAATGGCAAGTTTGATGGCATGCACTGGTGAGTTTCCTTCAATCTTTAATGAAAGAAATTTTAAGTGTGACTTTAAGGACTTAGCTATTTTTGGGAATAAATGGCAAAAGGGTGATTAGAGTGTTGTTTCTGGAAAGTTATAAATGGACTAAGGGTCTAGACTGACTTGAAATGGGATTTTTAAATTAATTGGATGAATCCTTCCCGTGGAAAATTGGCTCATGATTTGAATTCTGAAAAAACAAAGAACAGCATGATAGGATGAGACTTTGAAGATTGAACATTAGAGGGAGCTAAAAAGAAGTAAAGATTACAATTAAAGGAGAAGAATACCTATTTGACTTATTAACACAAAATGAAGCAAAACACCTTAATATCAAATGTACTGAAGGATATACGTGAACAATGGACTCTGAAGTTAATTTCAAAAATGTCTGCCATTATAGATAGGTTCTGTGTGAATGATGTTATGGAAGAGGAACAAGTTCTACCAGATAAGACTGAAATAGATTTGAATGTGGATTTAAAAATGACAGGACAAGAATTATCTGGAAAAAGATGAAATACTGGATATACAAATGAAAGTGGCTGACATTTTAATAACTAAAAGGGACATACAAACAAACAACCAGGAAAGTGACTTGGATAATTTTCCTATATCGGATTTACAAAAGAGACCTGTTAAAGTTTTGAAAGACTTGGTGAGAAGGGACAAATAAAAAAAGAAAAGAAATAAAGTTCTAGAACATTATTTGAAGGGATTAAATATCAAGATTGTTAAAAATAAAGGGAAGGAATATAAAGTTGGTTTATTTGATCAAGGTTAAAATAGATGATGTTATTTCTGTTAACCCTTAATGGACTTTTGCTGACCAGGACTGAATGATGTGGTTTTAAGGATTTGTCTATAGATAAAAGATGTGATGTGGGATGAAGAGATTGTTGGTTGTATTTTAAGAGAAAGTGATACGTTGTTAAAATTGTTTATACTTGTTGAGACAAAAGGGGAAGCTACTTCCTTATATTTTTTTCTTTATTTCTCTATTCTTTTTTATAGCACTCTTTTTTTTTTTCTTTCTGAACTTTTTAGTTTTTCTTTTGACTCCTTTATTTTTTGTAGTTTGTATTAGTTTTTGTCTGTTTAATAGTAATACTTAATACAATTATTTGGGGAAAAAACGAAAAGAAATGTGGGCTCACGTCTTCAGACAGCCAAGTTTTTTAAATGAACTAACTGCCGGGAAGAATAAATTTTTTAAAAAGTGACAGTACAGAAACAAATTTATGTAAGAGCAATCATTTCAGGCAGCACCTATGATGATTTGGAGCAACAACAAAAAATCTGTCAGAAACTTAAAATATATGGATCTCTAATTATTATTTTAATGTGGCAAGAATGATTAATGACCATGCTACACTTCGAGCAAAGTTTCTCCTAGTAAACAGCAACATGCAATCTCTTTTTTGTCCTTCCAGTTTTGACTTAGCTTGTCAGAACTTCTCCATTGTCCCACGGGTAAAGAACTTTTCCTAGGTTAGCCCCTCGGGGAAGGGACTTGACCTCCGTGCATATTTCAGCACCTCTGAAAGGAGCATTGACAACTGCAGGAATGTTGTTCTGCTTTCAGAATTGTTCGGCAGGCTTCAATAGATTCAAGATGAGTCATATCCTAATTCTGTCACAATAATATAATACCTAAGTGCAAATTTACAGTATTAATATATGTAATATGGATGTTGCTTCCTTTCTGAAATATTGGAAGTTTTATAACAGTAGCTGCATGCCACCTGCTGCAGGTCAGGAAAAAAAGAAACTTATCAGCATATAAGGTTCTTTTCCCTTCTGGCAAACTATACAGGGTAAATAAAGATAAACTTATTATTAGATTTATTAGGATTGATTATCAACTATAAATTTATTATCATTCATACTTGCACCTCCAATGGTATCTTGGACTCATGAGTACTCAGCTGTATTATTTGGCAGCAATTCCTTGGCCTTCTCTGGATTATTTTCCCCCCCAACTCTTTCGTTAATAGCTAAGACTTGGGGTTTTCACCAGGTTTCCCATGGGAGAGTGCTAGATGATGAGGCACTTTGCTTTAAGGTCTCACTGTAGTGTTTGTGGAATGAAATGAATCTCTCTAGCTTCTTAATTCCAACTTTTTTGAGGCACCACAACTACAGTTATTACTCAATATGAATAACATAAAGCATGGTGAAGGCCACTGCATAGAGGAGTTTTCAGACAGCTTGTGCTACTCAGATATCTATCCAGCTTAAATAAAGGTGAAATGAGTTGGACAACTGTTCAGTTTCGCAGGTGCATAGCCACACATTGGGTGAAATTTAAAATTAAAAAGTTTTCCTTCCAGTTAATTTATATTAGATTCTTGAGTTCAGTCATCTTTCTGCTATTCCTCCCACACTGTCTTACCCAATTTTTCTACCATTATTTAGAATGCAACACCATGGATGCACTGTTTTAACTAATGTTAGCATTATGCCATGCAAATGACTTTAAATGAATCAAGTGTTAAATTCCTTCCTTTTCTTTAATTGCAGATATAATTTGATTTCAGATATAGGCTTGCCTATCAAGACAGGTGGACACATGGAATTTTAGTAAATCAAAGTTCTTCAGGTGTTTAAAGGAAAGGCTATACATGATCTGCAGAAAAATAATTAAATAATCAAAAAAACAGCACTATCATGCTGTTCCTGTTTTTCCTTACAGCATGTCTTACACTTTTAAAATGATCCAGGCTACATGAAATTGGAGTAAATACTATTGTAGCTATAGATTTGTTAAATAATCTAGCTTCTTTGAAGATCTTGAAGATAACCATCATGGTTAAAACAAATTAAAATTTAATTTATTTTAAATTAAATTAAATCTGGTAACAAATTATCATGACGGATTGGTTAGGTTTGTTCAGAATAAATCCCAAGTGGCATAAGCTAATAAATAAATAAATAATCCAATAAAGCAGATTGCATATTGGGAGAAGCATAGAAAGAATCTATTTATAAAACATAGATATTAAAACCAAAAAAGTCCCCACATCTTTCCATTTTTCAGTATTTCTAGAAATTTTCTAAAAATAAATGTTAATCTTGTCTAAGGATGCGGTATGTCATGATAAGTGCTTTTTCTGTAGCATAAGGATTGTGGGTCTCAGCCTCATGGCCTGGAGGCATGTCTGAACAGCAAGCAATTTTTCTAAAACTTGCTGCTCACCATATCTTCTAGCATTTTCCTTTTCTCCAGGGGAAGAGTTTGGTGCCCAGTTGTACTTACAGGTCTGAGTCTGAGCTTGAACTGATCTATTAAAGGGACTTCCAGGAGAGTTATGGCGAACTGAATATGGCTCTGCGAAAGCAGAGCGGACAACTGTGCCAAAGACCAAGGAACTGGTGAGTTGACTGGTTCCTTGGAACCTCTCTGGCTAAGGAGAGGACAGGCAATTGCCCACATGTGCTCTGGATGGCTGCTCCTCATGAAGAGACCACAGGATAGTGGTTTTCCGTGGGTTTGAGCACCGGGAGATGATGGGATTAGCCATCTTGCTTGCAACTATGGCAGAGACTTTTAAAGGATTTGCAAACCTACTTTCTAATCACTTCCAGAAATTGCTCATTAACTACTTCTAAGCTATTAGAGACCTTTGGAATGACAAGTAAGAAAAAGTTGGGTGAGTCTGCCTTCAATCCTGAATGAAAGAAAATGTTAACTATAAGTTTAAGAATTTAAAGAATCTGAAATAAATATTAATAAATAAATAAAGCTAAATAAGATTTTGATCTTAGAAAGTTATAAACGGACTAAGGGTCCACGTAAAATTGGAATACTGAAACTTTTACAATAAGATTTTGGAATTAATTATAAAGAACAAACAGCTTCTTATGGGAAATAGATTCTGTTTTGGTTTTTATAAGACACAACAAAGATAAGCAATTTCATGATTTCAAAAACCGGATACTAGAGGGGACTAAAATTTTAAATAAAGCTAAATAAGATTTTGATCTTAGAAAGTTATAAACGGACTAAGGGTCCACGTAAAATTGGAATACTGAAACTTTTACAATAAGATTTTGGAATTAATTATAAAGAACAAACAGCTTCTTATGGGAAATAGATTCTGTTTTGGTTTTTATAAGACACAACAAAGATAAGCAATTTCATGATTTCAAAAACCGGATACTAGAGGGGACTAAAATTTTTAGGTAGAGGAAAGATTTACAAGCCTGTAAAATATTGCAAAATGTTATTACAATGAAAATACTGAAGGAGACTTTTGAAGAATGGAGTCAGAAATTAGTAGCCACAAATTTCAAAAACCGGATACTAGAGGGGACTAAAATTTTTAGGTAGAGGAAAGATTTACAAGCCTGTAAAATATTGCAAAATGTTATTACAATGAAAATACTGAAGGAGACTTTTGAAGAATGGAGTCAGAAATTAGTAGCCACAATATCAATGTCAGCAGTGATGTCTATCCTCTATGGATAGATGATGTCCAAAAGATGTTATTGAAGAAATGACAGATGTAGAATAAATTTTATCTGACAAGATAGAATTGGTATTGAAAGTTGGATTTACAATTAACAGGCCAAAATAATAACTTGGAAAAGGATGTTTCACTGGATCTACAAAAGAAACTGGCTGAGGTTTTAAAATTTAAAAGGGAAATACAAATGACAAGCCAAGACCTAGATAATTTTTTCCTATTGGATTTACAAAAGAGGCTTGTTAAAGCCTTGAAGGACTCTGTGCGATGGGACAAAGAAGAAATGAAGAGAAATCAAATCCTACTACAATATTTGAATGAACTAAAGTTTAAGACTGTTAGAAGTAAAAGACAGGAATATAAAGTTGATTAATTTGATCAAGTTTAAAACAAGATACATTATGACTTCAGGCAACCCTTTATGGCAGTGCTTCCCAAATCTGGGTAAATTACCCAAAATTGGGTAAAAGTGGTTTTTCTTTGGGAAGTGACATATGAACCCTTACCCAACCACAACAGGGACATTTAAATCGACTTAAAGATTGCCATGTGTACTAAAATATATTCAAAAATCTCCCAAAGTATTCCTATTAAGATGATATATTCAAAAATCTCCCAAAGTATTCCTATTAAGATGATATATTCAAAAATCTCCCAAAGTATTCCTATTAAGATGATATATTCAAAAATCTCCCAAAGTATTCCTATTAAGATGAAAATTGATGAAATAACCAATGGTAATATGTTGAAATGACATAAATTCAGTGATATTGTTTTTATAACACAGGTAGTCCTCGAATTACAACCATTCATTCAGCAACCATTTGAAGTTATGATGGTCCTGAAGGAAGGGATTTATGACTGGTCCTCGAAGTTCTGGCTGTTGCAGCACTCCTGTAGTCACATGAACAAAATTTGGGCACTTGGCAACTTACTCACACTTATGACCAGCGTCCCGCCTACCCTGCTGGCTTCCCACAAGCAAAGTCAATGGGGAAGCTGGCAGGGGAGGTTGCAAGTTGCTCAGGTTAGTCTCTCCCACCCACCCAGGCCTTTCTTCACTCGCTTGCACCACACCGTCCTTCCCCCCTTCACTCACATGCACACATACACTGCACCCTCCTTCCTTTCTTTGCTTGCTTGCACACACCACACCCTCCTTCCCCCATTCACTTGCTCACATGCATCTACCAGGTTTTGGGTAATGAAGGAAAAAAATTGGGAAGCACTGTTTTATGGCATTTCTGCTGACACCATGACTGAAAAAATGATGTTTTATGATTTGTTTATAGATAAAAAATGGGATATGGAATGAAGAATAAATATTTGTAACCTTAGAAGGGGTGAAGAGTCACTAAATTTGTTTATACTTGTGATGGAAGTTGGAAGTCACTTCTTTATATATTTCTTTTCCCTTTCTTTATTACATTCTTATTTTTCTCTTCTTTTTTCTTTTTTCATGCACTTCTTACTTCTTTCTATTCTCTTTTCTTTCTTTAAATTTAGTTTGTATTAGATTTTACTATTATAATAAAAAAATACACACACACACACACTGTTCTATTAATATAGGGAACTTCAGACATCACAGTATGCAATAGGGAAGAACAGTCTGAGACGTAGAGTATAAGTGGTAAAATTGATGGATGTTCCATTTCTTTTACCAATCATCACAGAAGAAGTCCAAACTCTTAACATTTCTCTTAATGGAAAAGAACAGGCTTAGCTGATTTTCTGATTCACTAATATGAAAGTAAATGCTGTACATATATACACACTCTGGGAGCTCCCCATTCCTTATTGTTTGATTTAAATTATATATTAATAACCCTCTTCCTTAAATAAGACTACTAGTATTGCTACTACTACTACTACTACTATTATTATTTTATCCTGCTTTTTTATATATAACTCAAGGCGGTGAACATAACTAATAGTCCTTCCTCCTCCTATTTTCCCCACAACAACACCTGTGTGAGGTGGGTTGGGCTGAGAGAGAATGACTGGCCCAAAGTCACCCAGCTACTTTTCATGCCTTAAGAGGCATGAACTCACAGTCTCCTGGTTTCTAGGCCAGCACCTTCAGCACTGCACTATACCAATATATTTACACTGAAAAATTGATTCTATACCACCAGTTGCTTTTAGCATAAAGATCAGTATATGCATGATCTCACAATGTTTTAAGTATAAGTAATCTGTTCAAAGTTGATTATCATTAAAATTCAACCATTTGAAAGGTAGGGATATTCATCAGACATAGCCCAACAAACCTTCTCTCGTGTGTGTCAGCTTTTGTCTGAGAAGGTAGTTTATTATAGCACTTAGGCTTACATAACAGTGATGACCCATTATGTTCCAGTTCATGCCATTTAAGATATTAATTGCCTCATATATCTCATCCTGATGAATATATTCCTGGATGATTTCCACAAGGCCAAGCTGTCCTCTTGGGGTGACACCTGCCACAAAAAATAATAAAAATTTTTTCACTTCAGATGCAAACCTAATTACGTTTCTTTGTTTTACCAAGAATCAAGCTATCTATCTATCTATCTATCTATCTATCT